AGCATAGAAATTAAATTTACTCTTGTTTAGAATAAACATTTGGTAAATGTGCTGCTTGTTCAATATGAAGTATGACTGAGAAAATATTATTTGTTATTGTACGAAGTGCATGATCATTCGAGGTATCGAGATCACTTCGACCCTAAAAAAAATATAACTATAATAAAATATCAATAAGCTTTGGGATAAAGTGGGATGTCATTTGTAAGTCTTTCGCGCCATCTATGTTAAATATAGGATCATAGTGAAACTGATGAGTACATGTTCTCAACTGTTCAATCGTTTTTGGCTTGAAATTATTGCCATTCGATCGGTCATAATAAGCAATGAAAAAAGACGTCCATTTTGATCTCATTTCCCGAGTTATCGGCGTTTTACTAACCCACACCCACACCCTTATCTTTAAATGATGTATAAAATTGTTCTAATGATATTTTAACAATACCAATGATTTTATCAACTGGACCAGAAATCTTTTTATCCCATACTTCAATTACAATAATATTATTATGCATTTTTTCTAATGTTGATTTTGTAAGCAATATGGGGATTTTCTATAATTGAAAATTAAAAAATGATATTTTTATACTTTATTTCTCATAAATATGAATAAGAAATAAATGTATCAAACGTACTGCGTCGAATAGATGGATATCAATCCTTTAATAAACACTATTATATTCGTTTTTGGTATAACAGCAGATCATAATAATTAAAAAAAAACAAGTCATTGACTGAAATAAACCAGGTGTAATCTCGTAACCTATCTGTTTTAATAAACGCGTTCTGTCTGCATTCTTTTTTACAGTATCAATCTACTGGAACTGACCCACGGCTAGATTAATATTTATAGATTTATTGCTCAAATCGAAATTTGATAGAACCTATTTGACGAACAATCACCATTCACGATCTATACATAGAGATATCTAGTTTCGGCTTACTAACTACCGACTCAATCTATGTTCGTCTTCTTTTTGTATTGAACTTTACAATCTATTTAGATAGGTACAAGGTTGATGCAAATACTGACAGTGAGTCTATAGCGGTGTATTTTATCTCTATTTCTCTTTCTTCAAAAGCTTGATTGAAAATTTAGCTTTTACTTTGTTTTGATAGCATGAAGAGTAGTTTTTCCTTCGGGGCAATTTTTAAATGATATAGCAGCAACTCGATTAAAAGTATTTGATAATGAATTAAATATCGAACCTGTTCGAAATTAAATTTTGGTGATGAACTACCCCAACAAACAATTGATGTTATGAGTTCTTCATTCCAAAATGCACGACAAACAAAATATGAATTTCGTACTAAATTATCTAAATGCAAAAATAAATTGAAAATCTTTAGAATACTTTTGTCGTCTTTAATTACTATTAGTTGAGATTTGTAAAATATTTCGTGCTTCACTAATTGAAATATATATTTGTACAACAAATCCATCGTTTAATTCCGATGTTGATTCATTTGCCATAAATCCTTCACTTGAAAATGCTTTTGGTAATTGTAAATTATTATTTGGATTAAGAATAATTTGTTTTTATTTATTTATTTTTATTTATTTTTATTTATTTTAATTTTTTCATTACGTTGTTTTTGTTCAATAAGACGAATACGATCAAGTTCAAGCATAACATGTAAATGTCCTATAGAAAATTTTCATAAGTTGTGTTGCTTCATTTTATTGGCCATCACGACTATTTGCAATAACAGGAAATTGATATTCGATAAAATAAGTTCGACTTGGAAAAATAAAATAAACTTAACTTGTTTTTTGGTTTAGAAATTTTTCTTACGTTGCACGTTTACTTTTATTTGTTCGACCAAATGATGAATGTGACGGAGATTCTCGATCGTTATTAAGCATATTCAAACGTAATTGGTCAATACGAACACGAGCTGTACGTACATAAATTAATAAGTGAATACGTTCTGCACCAAGATTATCATCATCATGACTTTCTAAATAGAATAAAAAACAGTTAGCACAATCCTGATGAGATTAAATTGTAAAATACGATGTGATTTAGAGACATATTTCTTCTCTATCATTTTAGTTAACCCTTCAGAAGTTCATATATTAGGACGAGACATTATTGATATAGGGTCTATGGAAAGCCCAAGTTGTATCCCTATATTTTTGATCGTGTTTCACAAGAATATAAAAAATCACTATGTTACCATTGTCACTATCATCTAGATCGTAACTTGGCATATCGAATGAAACACGTAATGCTGTATCACTATCACTACTATGTACTAAACTTCGACTTCTTGTTGAACGAGATCGATTTGATAAGGGTGTGTGTGTGGGGTGGTAGTATGTATGCATGCGGTTGTATAAGCGTTGGTCCATCTTTTTCAACACCCACACCCACACCCACAATGAAGAAACAAAGAGAGAAAACAGATTGACCTGTATGTATTAATGCCTGGAAAATCATAATTTATATCATGCATGACATCAATACACACGCAAAATAGATTATTGTTGAAAAATGACTAACTTTAACGGAATTGAGATTTTCTAATGATTTTTCTTCGTAATAAATTCATTTCAAGAAAAACAAAATCTAAACTTTTTAAATTTCCTCTGCTTCTCATGTATATCTGATAAATTATAATTATTTAATAAGCCGAAAAGACAACAATCAAATGAAAATAATTAGATGCAGTTCTATCATTAAACGTGCTTTTCTGATAATCAACTATATGCAACATCGTTGAAATAAATAATATTATAGAAAGAAGAAGATTTTCTTACAAAATGAAAAAACTGGAGAAAAAAACAGAATAAGAGAATGCTGTTTTTCAGTTACGAAAGTCAGACCATTAGAATATCAATCCAATTTGTACAAGATACGCATGTTTTCATTCTCATTCAGATTTCTACAGCCAGCTTGTAGCGAGTTTACAAATGTCTATTGTAACAGTTATGTTATCAACAACAACAGTAAGAAAAAGATATATTTAACGAATGGAAACATTCGAGTGCATACTGATAGATCAAAAGACTTGAATAATACGCTCGCTGATAATTTTCTTTTCAATTACATAATGACAAAACTAACAGGTCATGGCGCAGAATAAATTGCGGTCTTAGTATTTTGACTATTGCTCCTTTTTTTCTAAACCTAATTGAGCTGATTATTTTACAAAAAGATTTGCCGTTTAATTCTCGTCAAAAATAAATACAAGGATTTGTTTTACAGGCTATGGATTATAAACAACACCAAGAGGAATTCTGAAAGCTCCGAAAATGTCTCGAAATGTGACAAAAAGCTAATATTTTAGTCTAATTTTCTTTAACGTTAAAGTGAAATTAATGTTTTACTGCACCGAAACCTCAATAGTTGAATATATTTGTCTATTCCAGTGAAATGAACTAAAGAAATCAAATTTTAGCAGCCTTCGACTCACTTACAACAAACAATTTATTTTTTTGTGATGATGTTGACTGAAGTGGGTTTTGATATTCAGCGCGAGAAAGACCACGATTTTTTGTGTATAAAAAAAGCTTGCTCTGTTACATTTCCATGTTTATTCAGCTACCGTAAAAAATTTGAAAACCCCATGAAATCCGTTTTACATTTTAGAAACTTTCGAAGCTTTCAGATTTAAAATACGAAAATAATAGAAAAAAAGCATGTATCAATGTAGACGAGTGTAATAAAATAAAGTAGTATGTCCTACAGCAGCTCTCAATGATAGTCTAACATCGTTTGACTGCCGTAAGTCTTTGTGAAGCTGAAAAAAAATTGAAAAAATTCGGGGTTGGGGTGTGCGTGTGTGCTATGAGTGGGGTTAAGGTTTACTAATCGCTGTGGCATTCACACCCAAATTTTAAACAATATAATTGCAAAAGTTAATGTTGAGTGCGAGTTGGCTCTTATGCTCTCTTCTTATTCTGAAAAAAATATACCTTAGCTCACTGTGTTTTTATATCTTACTGCCGAGAACCTAAAATCCTTATGTTTGGAACTTCCATGTGATCGATGAATTTTCTCTCGCTTTCTTCTTGTTTAAGACGGAACAAGATGAGATGAAACCTTTCGTTTTAACTCGTTTATATCGCATTCAACCGAGTATATCGAAATAGTTAAACTAAAATTAAGAAATTTTTCTTTCATAGTTGCTCCTTGAAATTTACCTAGTAAAAAGCAAAACAATTGAGAAATGTATAATTCAATCATGATCTGTCATAGAGATCTGAAATCTATATCAGAGATAGATATAGCAGCTCAGCTATTGTCCTAAAACGTTCGGCAGCGGAAAACTGTAGGCACTTTGATCTGGTAGTTTCTTGATATCGCTTAATGTTCGCTATGTCCCATTTTTTGAATGAATAACCATTAAATATTCTCAAAGATGTAGTTATGTTGTATTCTTAATTGAATTAATAAATTAAGGAGACAAACTATTAAAAGGCTTGTTTTCTAACGGTGGAATAAAACAAAAGTGATGAATAGCTCACGAGCACACGTAGAAGCATTTTCCTATAAACAAGACACTTGAATAATTATTTATTGTCGCGCATGAGAAAATTTTCTTCCGAATAAAGTCATATTTTAGTTACGAATACATCAAAAAAATGATCTAAATGAAATCTATATGACTTAACTCGTTTAATCCATCCTATTCCACACTTATAATTTCTTTTCTTCATTAATGAAGTTTTTTCAATAAGTTGTTTGACCTCTTCACTTCATTCATCACATTTTTCCTCGTTTTCATCCCTTACATCAAATAGGCGAGCTCAGTCACATTGAGAGGGTAGTATGCAACATGTAACAAGTCAACTAGTTTCAGATGATAGAACTAAAGCAACACTACATCGATTATATATGACAACAGAGCATGCATTAAAGTGACGATCGGTAACTTTAAATATTCTGAGGAGCAATGAATGTTCCAGTTTATTATCTCCTAATAAGTTAGTAATGATATTTATTAATAAGATTTGTTTGAAGATTTCGACAAAATGGTACTACAGAATCGGCATTCTATTCATAAGTAAATCTACGGCGTGCATGATCATGAATAACAATACACAGAACAGTCAGTAAAAATATCTAATAGTTACGTTAGCATCCGTTTTTGAATGTTTAAATTGGACAACATTTTTTCGTATGAAGAAAAATAAAAATGAAATAGACCTAGTTTCCCCCATTTTTGACTGGATGTAAATTAATATTCTATTCGACAACTGATCATCCTGATTAGAACATGTTCATTGCAACGATATAAAAAGTTTGGATAAGTTTTACTCGAGACAAATGATTTTTTTGTTAAAATTAAATAAACATTTATTAAAAGACAAAAAGGGAAAATATCATTTCTTCGACTAATCCTAACATTGAACATGTATAGCATGTTAATTGTATTGTTACCCTAAATAAGCATGTCTGATCTTATGGTGTTTTTGCATTTTCACACAAATAATACTAAAATCTCTCATTGACATTCATCTATTATAAGCTGCTAGGAATGATTTTGAATGTAGTTACCTGTGCGAATATGGCATTCGGTCAAGCTGCTGAAAAAGTCAGTTCATATTTCATAACATTTCGCTTCACTTCTGAAAAGACGAAGTAAAAATGAGCTTGTGCATCATTCTTCTTTTCATCTCTTTAAAAGAATAAAAAAAAGAAAACTCCTCATCACTAGCATACGGTTATTTTCGTTCGTTTCTGTTGTTGTCACCACCAGCAACACCAAGAAAGATTTATCTCTGTGTGCACATACATTTTATCAGTAACATATAATTAAACGATAAAAAACGAAGTAAAGATGTCATTTAACACAGAAACCTCATACACGCGTAAGAGGAAAGTCTTCGAAACAAAATGGCTTCTGCAGATTCTGACATTCAAATGTTAAAAGGTACATGGGATTATGTCGACGGTGAAAATTTTGATGAATATTTAAAGGAAGCGGGTAAGATAATAAACCGTAATAACTGACCTTTTATAACCACATATTTCACTGTTACTATCTAGGTATTTCATGGGTACTGCGGCAAGCTGCGAAAGCTGTAACGAAAGAAAAAATGATTATTAGTGCAGATAATAATGGTAAATGGACATTGAAATCGGAATCAACATTGAAAAATACGGTGTATGAGTTCACACCGGGTGTTGAATTTAATGAAACACGTGCCGATGGGGCAGAGGTTAAAGTATGTGTAAAGTTTCGGTTTCATGATAGAACCTTTCCAGTTATAAAGTGCCCTGTCGAAACTGGACAACGTCTAGAATGATTCTTCCCCCATGGATCTTTCTTTTCGAATTATAGACATTTTACGGAATTTTCGGCCTACGGCAAGGTATGCCGTGCAAGATTGATTGTTGGAATTTTGACCTGAGATTTTGCTGACGAAGTGGTCTCATAGCTTCGGCACATCGTAGCAGCTATTAGTCGTCGTCGTCGTCGACAAACTCTCAGGTGAAAATTCCAACAACCAATTTTTCACGACATAAGTTGTCAAAGGCCGAAAATTCAGTAAAATTCCTATAGCCCAAAAAGAAAGTACCGCGGAGCCGAATCATTCTTGAATTTTCTTAGTCTTGGCAGGATCTATCTAATGAGGGAAGTCTGATCTCGAAAATTTTTCATAACCTGGAAAGGTTCTCTCGTAAGCTTTGTCACTTCGACTACCTTGTACCAAAGTATGCCTCCGTTGATTATAACTTTTGTTTCTTAAGTCAACAATTACATTCGACAATAACACTAGTCGTTGGATTCATAATGCAATTGATAAACAAGGAAAGCTAGTGCATATCGAACGTTATGTTGATGATAAAGATCAACAACAAGTTGTAAGTTCATGTGATAAGCTATCTCAATAGTTAATATTAATATTCATTCTACTGCTGTTTTTCTTACAGGAATTAACATGTGGTAATGTTAAAGCTCGACGTCGGTATAAACGAGCAGGATGAAAAAAAGAGAAGAAGAGCACGAAGCAAATTCACTTTCTATTTTTCTAATTGTACTTCACTTCATACATTGATTCTTAGTAAAAGAAGAAAATGTGATCACTGAGACTTCCAAAAAAAACACTTCAGAGGGTGCGTGTGGATGATGGTGTGGGTGTGGATTCGGGTATGGATGTTGGAGTGGAATGTGGGGTATCGCTGTGTGTGTGTGAGTCTTCTATTCATTCACACCCTCACCCGATCAGATACATGTGGTGTATCCTATCAAAAGCTTTGATATCCGTTCACTTTTCTCTAAATGTCGTCGAGCTAAAACATTGTCATGTTATGCATATTTCCATTGCATAGAAAGAAGTCTTCGGATTAATATGTTTACAGAAAAAGGAAATAAACATTATAGATCATGCTTGAATTTTTTTTCTCAAGAAACTCATTAAATGATCAAACAATAGTAGATGCTTATTAAAAGCATAAGCAATGAGTAATAACCTTCATCGGATATATATTCACCAACTTAGTCAAATCTACAAACACTTGTTTTCTGGTGATTGTTTGTAACTGTTTTAAATACATCGAATTTTCATTTACAATAAAAAGAGAATATATTTTTATCATGAACTAAAATTGTTTTACCATCGATGTGAACAAAAATCATTAATTCATCATATGATTCAATCACTAAACTAATATTAAATATGAATGCATTTGTTCATTATCATTATTTTGAAAAACATGACTGCTGATATTGAAAATAATTTTTTCTCTGCTACTTGATTTGTTAAAATTGACTGGCAAAACAACGGAAACATTTCTAAATCGCTTCTTCACTAATCTTTGCATAAATCTTTGATATACTTCGTAACCGATCAAACTCTTTAACACGAAGAAATGAAAATGACAATTTGAATGCGATGATTTACTATGCATCCGAAGTGAATCAAATCCATATTCGTTAATATAATGCACTTCATATTTCACACGTCTGAGCTATTCTTTTATAAGCATTTACATTCTCTATACAAATTCAGTGAACATTGATCTTTATTAAGGTGAGAATATGTACTCTATTCGAAGAATCGCTCACGTTTAGCAAGCTAATCAAACGGAAAAAAGCATCTTTTTGAAGCTATGTGGGTGTGGGTATCGGTTTTCTCTTCACACTCACACCCACACCCTATGATATGCCAGGGATGGCGTAGTGCTTCTATGCATCTGATTTAGTCAGATAGCAAAATGTTCGATTCCTTCCACTGGGACGGTGTTTTGGTTTCAAAGATATTCGATAATGGAAGCAACGTTTCTAATGAGAATCTGAAATAGAACGTATGCATACACTATGTTTTTTAGAGCAACGTGTACTGTTACACGTTGTTTTTTGAAGCAGTGTGTACAAAGTGTATAAAAATAAACATCGAGTTTTTTTATCCACATGGGATATTTTATATGAAAGTAAACTTTTATTTCATATGTTACGTTTAAATGATGACAAAAAAACTTATAAAGAAAACCAAAAATAAAAAGTTTTTAAATTACAAGAAAAAAGTTTAAACTGGGTGAAAATATCAGTTGATATCTTGTATAGAAATATGATTTTTAGACACTTTTATACTCACTAATACTTAAAATGACAAAACAAATAAATAGCTATAGTATAGATGATAAAGTAGAGTACCTATGTGAGATTCAACTATACAATAAATATGTACATAAAACACTTGAAAAACAACTATATATTTCAATATAAACCATTATCACATATAAATTGATGCTTCGTTTAAAACTAATTATAGTCAGCCTATAGTAAAAGAAATTCAAAATATTTTTTTATTCTTAGAAATAATCCACATACTAATGATAGTTTCTTCTGTTTCTTCATGAATATCACGATGATCTTCACAAAACCATACGCTAGTTTCTGTTGGAGCAGCTAACTTTATACGGCAAAAATTGCATAACCGTCTACGACATGAATCTTCTTCGTCCACCCAGTTATATTCTTCATGTTGATGACAACATAAGATGGCATTAACTTGCATTGGATCATCAGATGATATTGTTCTTCCACATCCATTAGCGCATTTGATAGAGTTAGCCCGTGGTTTCTTTGGTCGATTTGAATTACCAGAATAAGTTGTTGCACAGTTTAGTAGTTTTCGTTTTTTAACCATCGGACGAACTTGTCGAGATGGTTCGTAATCATCTGGAACATCAATCATTAATTGCATTCTATTTAATCGACGACTAGATTCAGGATTATTCCAAGACTTGAATGCTTCTTCAACAATATGATGACATCGTATACTAAAAGCAACGTTTCAATTTATAATAAGTGATTATTTAGTGCATAAGATTTTGGTGCTTGTCCTACCTTCGAATATCATTAGTTAGAAGAAGACGTACAGTCAACAGACATTCCAAGGTTTCATTGGTAATTCTGGAACGAGCTATGGTCTGTATTCGATTGGCAGCACTATAGCCTCGCTCACATTCTGTAGAATTTAAAGGAAAAATTAAATAAATACTTAACAGCATCAAGATATTTTTGTATTGTTCAAAAAAGTATTGATTGGTGGTGCTTTTAAGTGCAATAAACTTTTTCCAGAATAATGCAGGTGAATCATTACTTGTTTTAATCACGATAAAATTAATAATCAATGATTTAAACGATTCCCACTCCGTTTGCACATTGTTTGAATCGAAATCCGATAGCTTTTCATATTTTCGACGAAGATATTGCAGTTCGCGACGACCAAATGTAGCATCATTCAATAAATACTGATTTTCTTCAATCATTATAGGATCAAATAAATATGATAAACATCGATGCAATTCAGACACTGGAAATCGTTGTTCAACTTCTTGAAGTAAACGCTCAATATGCAAACAACATTCTTTTTTTAAATCATCACGACTTTCCTTCGATCTGATCTTGAAGGCACCAAATACATCAGTTGTGTCGGTCAAATTAATGTACTCTGCTAGAGACGGCCCCCATGGATATGTGCCGTTTGATTCTTTCGTCCATGTGACCAGCATCTCTTTTTTATCAGCAATTTTATCCATCAACACTTTGTAGGATAGATCATCTTTCTGCATAATTTTTGTGAGCTCACCTTGAGGAAAAGTCATGAAAGTTAATATCAAAAAACAAAAAAATAGCGTCTTATAACTAACCGGAAACACATTCATGTAGATCGAAATGAAAATGGAGAACAAATAAAAATCGATCATCTAAAATTTCCATTAGCAATTCAGCTGCATTGTTACGTTCACTCTTTGTTACATCCAAATCATATGAAGTATGTTCCAAAAAAGCAAGAAGTGCTTGATTTCCTAACATGGTTTTAAAAGAATTACTTGACTAACCTATTAAAGAATGTAAATTATCCTTTACCTGGCTTCATATTATTCATAATAGACTTTAAAGAATCCCGTATTGATAACCATCTTATGTCAAATAATTTTTTGAATTTTAGTTCAGGCATTGTGAGAAAGTTGTACCATTGTTTCAACTTGTGTTGCCGACTTGTACTGCGACTAAAGAAACTATATATTTTACCTAACAAGTTTTCGAAATTAGCTATGAACGGTCGGATTTTTATTTTTCCATCATCTAAAACGAAGTATATGATTTCATTAACTTTTAAGCCATAGAATATCTCTACTAACCGTCTAGATATTGACCTGATTGCTTACCAACAAGGGCATACGAATGGGCTACACAAGTGCTTAGTTCTAAGCATGGCATATCGTACTGTTTTTTCAACTTAGCAGCCACACCATCATGAATACCTAAAAACATAGAACACATTTAGCAAAAGTATAATTGAAGACGTACCAGTAAATGTGCTTGCATTGTCTGCAGCCAACCAACAACTTTTTGATTTTTTTAAACCATCCCTTTCCCATAATTTATTTATTCGTTTTACGATGTTATCAGCTGACCCGTTTCCTTCCATATTCACAATCCCATAAAATGATGTACGTGGTTCAAAATCTTCTAAGTATCGTACGTATACAATGCAATTCTTTTCAATCGAACGAGAAGTCGATTCGTCCATCATAAAACCTGTCGAAACAAAAACAAATTCACGAGAAGTCAAACATTTGAAAATATACACATACCTAGTACAGGACTTTTGCTTAGCTTTTGTAACAAATCTTGGTGTAAGACACTTGCTATATGTTGAAGAAAGGATAATGCAGCACAATCGTTTCGATAACTAACACCATTGACGTCTGCTGGTAACAATTTAACACCCGTTTTTTCTAGTAAATCACAAAGTGGTATAAAGCTATTGAGTGGATGATCACTTTGGCATAAATAAATACAAGAATACATAAGATTTTTAATGGATTCTTCCTGACGCGACAGAATAATTGTTCTTGTTGAAATCCAATCGGGTTGATTCATTGATGTTCGCTGTAATTCTAATTCTTCTGCTTCTTTATGTTTTTCATTTACGCGATGCTCTTTGATCTTGTCCAATGCTAATACATTAAATCCTTTTGTAGCCCAAGTGTTCTCTTTGCCATTTTTGTTTTTTATCATACGATACTGTTCACATAAACGACAACCTAGCATGACGCTACCATCATTTTCATTACTCTTCTTATAAAGCCAACATGAGTATTTTATTTGTTTTGTACCAAGAGAATCATAAACATATGATGAATAGAAAGATGCTGGATCATTTTCCCACGAGGATAAATATCTTTTACGATGACTAGAAGATCTTTTATCTGTTGACGAATTTTTAGAACTTAATTGATTTCATAATGTATTAATACTATTTTGTGTTTTCAATACTTATACTTTTACTTTCATTTGAGATTCGACATTACAATATGGTTCGATATACATAATTTCATCTTCTGCACTTGATGAAGACGATAATGATGATGGATATTTATCAACAGTTGTTATTGTTAATTCCTCAGGATTGCTCATTGTATTTAAATTACATGAATTATATCTAAAAATTTCATAAATGAAACTATTGATATAAAAAAGAAAGAAAAACATTAAGCAAGTTTAGGAAGGTATAAACTTCTCATTTCATTTTTTTCAATAGCTATATTGCATATTATATTTTAGGTTTTGTGAAAATTCTTCAAATAAAATATAGCATCGTTTCGATTTTGAATACTAAACAAAGGTAACAATAAACTACATATACTGACTGTATATGTTACATATACAGATACAGACAAAAAATATAATGTAAATGTAAATTAGCGCCTCTATCAATTATCTTATTGGATATTCAATGTACATTGCTTATGAATGATCGCTTTTTGTTTGCATACAATATTTTCTCCAATCGTATAACGTAAAAAAAAACATGAAAGTATTAGAAAAGTAAAGTGTAAAATCAAAAATCAGTGTGTAAAGCGTACACGCTGCTTTTTTTCAGTGTGTAAAACAGAATGTAAAATTTTTTCTATTAGGGTACCGTACACGTTGTTTTTGCTAGGTACACTTATTCATTAGAAACACTGAATGGAAGAATAGTCAAGAAAGAAAAACCAATTCAATACACGTGGATTCGTCATCACTGCCTCCCCAGTTTGTTTGTTTTCTGTTCTTTTTATTCTGTTCTCTATATATTATCGTTATCTTTCTCTCTCGTAAGCGTCCGAAAAAACTGTACTAAAAATCATAAAAAAGATAGGATGTTACGAATAAATAGAGCGAAATTTAAAAAAAAAATGACATGCGCAAACGTTGTAAACATTGATAACGATTTGACTTCAATGAAAACTTACACCAGCTTATCTTTGGTTATTTTATCGACAACGGTCTGTCTTAATTGAATGAATAGACAGTTTGATTTTCGAGCTATACTGCTCAAAATACAAGACCTTCTGTCAGACAATGATCGACATCGTCTACATTTTCTCCTCGGCGAAGACGTTCCAAGAAACTTGCGCGACGATTTATCGTTTAGTGGAACACTTCGATTACTCGATTCACTTTTGGAAAAGACGTTCATCAGCGATGAAGATTGTGATTATCTCATTGAAGCATTCAACAAAATACATTGTAATGACGCTGCCAGACGACTTCAAGGCTCGTATTTTCTATTTCTTACTAAGAATTTATTTTGAAGGCGTGCTTTATATCTTTCAGAGTATCAACAAACTCGGGAACCAAGCAATCAGCGAACATTTTCACTTCAAGATATTCTTTTTCAAGACAATGAAGAGGATATGGCACGCATGACAAGTTTGTAGCAATATCAGGCAATACATTATGTGCAATCAAAGATGTTTTTAGGAATTATACCTGACATGCCAGATCCAGTATTAACTTCAGATCTTTCGACTTCGCTCATAGATGTCACTCTCAAAAACAATCGACCTATCTCGTCGCCACCCGTGGGTAAAAAAACGAAACAGCATGCTCATAGATTTCGACCGATTGATCTGATTTTAAAAATGAAATTAAACACTCGTGAATGTGTTCTACTTATTCTACTGGTCATTAGTATTATTCTGGCTCTATTGGCTCCTGTGGTAACCATCAAACTATTCTGCAAATCTATTCCATGTAACACGACTATGACTTCAGGTAAATTATAAGCTATCTGGATGATCTATCATATGGTAGCCTATGGGAAATTCTTGTCACAGACAACCCTCACTCTAAGCATCAAACCCGATGCTAGTGAATACAGTAACGGACACGACACAAAACATATTTCAGATGAGCTTATAGCTTCATGCCTCGACTAATGGCAGTTTTCATGAAATATATGTATAATTGAGTTGTTGTTAGTTGTTACACATTTTGTCTTGTACTGATAATGAGGAATCCTTACTATGATTATCAAGAATGTGTACGTACATCACACATGTAATCTTAAAAACTTGAAATAGGAAATGTTGTAAATCTCGAAGAGTGCAACCTGAAAAAGTCGACTATTTTATAGGTGAAAACTCGCTTGTTTAGTCTCATCATCAACTATCAAGCCATGCTTGGTGATCTTCTTTCTTTTTTGCTTTCATGATCGTACAGAGATCAATTCCCTTGCGAAGAAATAGTAAATTCACAACTTTGATTTTCGATTTGACGTCAATATCGTTCATCTCGGCTTATTTTCTGAAGAATGTTGATGTCGTGTGTCACAAAAGAAAGGATTTCATTTCATTAGATATCTTGTTTGAATATCGTCCATCAACTACCGTGCGAATCATTTGATTTTAATAAATAAGGGCGTGAATGTCAGTCTTTTGTTCTTATATATTCATGCCTATACCCAAACAGCAATATCACCATACGCATATATTCAAAAGCACCCTCTTTGAGAAACACGACGAAGTTGTTCTTAGCGGCTCCAGGAGTTCAGATCTCTCAAAATCCGGCCACTGCTTGAAAAATTTATGCGCACAAAGTTCTATATCACCTTCTGTGTCAGAAGTAAAGCTATCTGCTTTTTTTCCATACAAAAGTTCTATGATAATGACTAGCGATGAACACTACAGGTACCCCTGCAACTGCTACTACAACTACAACTACAACTACAACTACAACTGCTACTACAACTACAACTACAACTACAACTACAACTGCTACTACAACTGCTACTACAACTACAACTACAACTGCTACTACAACTACAAGTACAAGTACAAGTACAACTGCAACTATAACCACTGCTGTGCAGCTAGGTAAGTTTTTCATAAATGCTTCGTGATTTGCATAATACTAATTTTTAATCAGGTATATGTAGTTACTTTGTTTGTAATATTCCACTGCAACTAGCTAAAGGTTATATTAATAGAGTCAACCATCTTATATTATAAGTGATTTAATTTTCATCATAAGAAAAAAGTAAAGCAGTATTAATCCACACATTGGCTATTTTTCGTCACTATCAAAGTTTATTTCGTTTTGTTGACATCTATAAAACGAAATCCAATTCTCCTCTTCGTTTAATACTACGATATATGCTACAATGAGCTGTGTGTTTTCAATTCAATCGTACCCACATCCACAAACCCCTGAAATATTGTAATCGATTGAGTCAATGTAAATGAGAGTATTTCTATAGCGGATTTAGATAGGATTTAAAACAAAAACTTTGTTTGAAACGTTGATTTCTGTCCATATTGCTACTGAAAAACGAGACCCTTTATCTATGCAACAGTATCCAGTTGTAATAAGGGGGAAATAGCGGACTTTTGTACTTGAAGTTAATTTGATCTACTTTAAGCCACTTGATGTTTATTTCGACGTACTTCGTCGTACTTTAAGCTACTTCCAAATTTCAAATACTAAAGTAGTTTGAAATACGATGTTTCTACCTTGAGTTGTAATCTCTGAAATTTCCTTAATAGTACGTGCGAGAGACCGGTGATCTGTTCGTCGAAATTTCGAAACTCATGTGTTCCTTCATCGTATGCACGTGTATGATCTACTGATGATTTGATCACATTACTTGTAATAAGAAATGTATGAAGATCAGTATGCTGATACGTTTTTTCACTCTTACTCGGTCTCTCATATGTATATGACTATCCATTAGGATCTAACTGTAGTTTTTATTTTGTTTGACCATTATGAGGCATTGTTTTTCAAATCTGAAAATAGATGTATTTTACAGAGAAAGTGTTTTCTTCTGAAGGATACAATTGAGAGACATAGTTATATACCTTTCTTGATACATTAATAATGATAATTCAATCCAGTTAAGACTACGAATCGTATTTTGTTATCAAATTATATATGAAACTGTATTCATATCAATAATTCCGCTCATTGAATAGACTTTAGCTTTTACGGTGGTTTCTCTTTGTGCTAGGCATTCATCGAGCTAGTTATTAATTGTTCTTTATGTTTTTTATGTTAATAATTCCATTGTCCACAGTTATGAAATAGTTATCGATACATAGATGGACAGTTCTCACCCTAGCAAAAATCCTTGGTATTTCCATGCTAGATCTTTGGCAAGTTCACTAAGAATCTTGTCAAGATTTACTGTTATTTCGGTTGTGCGCGTTGATACAAAGAAATGATCTACTCACATACCACACCCTCCAGTTGTTTCCTAACATTTGTTTTGTGAAACTTTTGGTGTTGATGTGGGGTGCAGAGGTCGAAACGGAGCGGGGACTCTTTTTCTCGAGATGAAACGAGGCGGGAGAAAGCTTTTCACGAAGCGAACAGAACGGGAACGAAAAAGTCCCACTGTTTCGAGCTCTGGTGGGGTGTGAGTACATCATTTCTTTATATTAGTGCTCCCACACCCTCTGTATGAGTTTGTATATATTTCGATCCTCATCTTCAAGTGTTTAGCAATGAATACATACCTAATCGGTAAAAAATTTAATATTTTGAAGTGAAAATCTGTTGTTTCTCTTAATAAATACTGTCTTTGAGTTGTTTCCATTCTAATATTGATAGCACTCAATACAGTACGTCGAATACAATATTATGACATAAATTACATCTATATTTTGAGAACAAAAATTTGTCGCAAACTAATCTGAAGTCTATCATCGCTTGCGATCCGACAACTGCTATGTATCATGATTGTTTATTATTAGTTCTATGTAAGAATGCTTCTATAGATCGAATCATCATAGTTTCGGCATCGAAGTTCGTTTGTCTCGCTTTCGCCTCGATGGATATATCAATATGAAGAGGAGTAGTGAACTATTCAGTCAATTGTATGTACCGCGTTGAAAAATTCTAAAATATTTTTTTTTCCATTTATGTCCGTATGCTCGTTTTAGAACACACTTAGAGTGCTCTATTCAACGAAAACTTCCTTATGAAAAGCTTACAAAACCGTTTATCAGCTAGAAAACAACAATGAAAGTCCACGGCAAGCATACGTGAAAATTGTCATGTTTCTTTATAAAATCTCAATCTTATTCTATTTGTTCTGGTTTTTCATTTACATAGCTATGAGAAAACGTTCTAATTGACTTTCTCATTGTCGCACGCCGAAATAAAAAAATAAACAAGGGGTTACTTTTCGAATAGTAAAGAAAAGCATGTCGTTGAAGCGCATTCTTGTACCAGATAAATATTTTGATTTTTCCTTTCTTGCACTAGTTTGTTACAGAGCTTCAGATTCAATATTGATACGATTGAAAACACACCTATTAGTACAGTTTGAAAAAACAAATCGAATAAATTATTTTTATAACAAGAAACACCCAAATTTACTGCTTGGTAGAGTTAAGTAGACTACACGTGAAAATAGCTTTTTCTCGACATTTTTTTTTCATCTGAATTGATCTTGGCAATGGCAAAATAACTGTAATGATTAATAAGAGGATTCTTGAACCCAGTGGCGGAGCCAGGGGGGCTAGGGGGTGCTCAGCCCCCTAGGCAGTGTTGAGCCCCCCCCCCTAGCGAGATTTTAGAAAATGCATTTTTTTATATAAATATGTAGTAATGTTTACAATTTCATGTTTTAGCCAGTGTTGCCAGCTATAAAACTCAAAAAATCCCGCAAGAATCGAGAAAAAATTTCAAAATCTCCCAAAAAATCCAGAAAATCTTCAAAAATTTCAGAAAAAACGAAAAAATTTTCAAAAAAATTTCAAATTTTTCCAAAAATTTAAAAAAAGCTTTCAAAATCCTCAAAAACCCAGAAAAATTGTCAAAATTCCCCAAAAAAAATCCAAAAAGACTTTCAAATTCTCAAAAAATTCACGAATTTTTTTTTCGGGGTCTCAGCCCCCCTAGCCCAAAATCCTGGCTCCGCCACTGCTTGAACCTCAAAATAATTACGCGCTTTACAAAACACTTTCGAGATCATAGAGCCATTGGCATGTGGTTTCGCATAAATTTTGCCGTTTTAAATAGGGCTTGATCAGACACTTGAGTCGTTATATATTATAGCTGCTGATATGTTCACCTCATTATCAAGTAACCGAAACTTTTATAGAAGCTGAAAGCTTCTAGTAAAAAACTGATTTTAGTATGAGAAGTTCTTATATGAATTAATTGGTTGTGTGGGTGTGGCTGTAGATGCATTGCCGGTTGAAGCTGCGAGAGTGAGTAAGGTCGAAGAGAAGGTTCACATTCACACTCTCTGGATAGGATTCTTAACATTCGGAGTGCAGCTTCAAGGAGTCTTTATGGCATCTTATGCAAGAACGTCTCTACAGATGCTGGTGGATCTTGTTTTTTCTTTGCTAAGTTTCTCTTCTTATGCAGCTCTAACTACTTTCAGTCTCATACGATGAAGAGCTGGACGAAAATGTTACAAAAATTTCACAATATACCATTATAGCCTTCTCTGTGCATTTTTTTAAAGTTCTGACTCAGGTCGGCAGCGTAACCTGTGAGGATACTCAACTCAGAATGCCAAGAGCAATCTCTGCTGGAACTGAAATAAATCTGGAAGAAGTGCTCTGATAAATCGTAACTGAATCTCTTAGTGTTCAAATCAAGATATTGATCAACGACACTACGTGTCTCACAAGCATTCGAAATGCTGATTATTGAAAATATTCTCGTAGAATCCTGAGAAATTACAATGGAGATCTTGATCAGAGATATGCATGAAGTTCGAGGAATCGTCAATAAATTGCAAGAAACCTTGTCCATGTCATGTCACATCTCAAAGGCTTCGTGAGTTTTTCCTAGCATGCTTATCCTGTCTATCTGTATTTATTAACATAATCTCAATAAACGGATTTTAAAAATACTGAAAACTATCCTCAATAGGGTGTGAGTTTGAGTGAAATGAGCAGTGGCCACATCCCACACTCACACCATTCACACCATTCACACCCTTCTTTGATATAATAAAAAATGAAGAAAAAATATCATCGCGTTACGAAAAGTTATCCTGCAATAAAATTCTTTCGAATTAAAATACGCGCATGAGATAGCCCGTAAAAATGCTTTCAAGTACTTACTTCTTATAAAACAAATGTCGAGACTAACCGATGAAAAACAAACAATACTCATTTTTGGTTACGCGTTCACATTATACGTAAAGCAACGGGTGATGCAAAAGTTCTTCTGCATTAATTTTGTTTTTGATGTAGCGCTGTAATGGAATCTTGTAGAGATTTCATCTTTTTTTTGTTAGGAAGAGCAAAGTATCTAGTGCAAAAATGTAAAATAAATATCATTAAAAATGTTTGATAGAGGCTACAGAAATTTTCGAACAGAAAGCATTGAAAAACTATTCCGCAACTTTGGTGAGAATTTTCTAATATGAAACTATTCGTTTGACCTTTTTCTTCAACATCATGCGATATTTCTGAGAATCTTATATATGTAGTTATTTATTAAAAAGAAGGCCTTCATGGTTTCCGATACTAAAGCAAGTGTTTAGTTGCATATCGCTCAGAAAATCTATGTCTTATTTCAAATAATATCCTACGACCAAGGACTCATGAAACTGATTTTCATATGAAATATATCGTTTCTGACAGTCTCTGTCCGAATAGAATTTATTTTTTCGGACTATGATGGGGAGTGACAAAAACTGTAGACATCAAGTGATATCATGAAATCGTTCGTTTCAGCCATTATAAAAATGCGATGGGCTTCTTTTTTGTTTTACTACACTTCACTATCGGTACCGTGAAAAACTCGGATAAGAAAAGTGAAAATAAGATTGGCCATGTTAAATGAAACCTTTTCCAATCTCCAAAAAAAAGCTGCAAAATCGTTTTTCAATGCTATCTGTTCTAAAGTTTCTGTACTAATAAAAACATACAAAATCTGAATGAGATTCTATTACAACGCTACATCAAAAACACGATTAATGTAGAACTTTTGCACCACCCGTTAGTTTTTCTCAGACTAGTGTCAAAAAAGTATCGTACGCAGAAATTTAACTATTGTACCAAAAGGTACATCTATTATCATAGAAGTAATTATTCTCAATCAACCTTCTATATATGAAGCTATTCTGTTATATTATACTCAAGCTAATTAATGGTCTAGATAGAGGAGTTTTCTTTATATATATTAGGGACTGCTGAATAGACGATTAAAAAAATGGGATGCTAACCGTTCATTAACGGAACAAATGTGCTTAGCTACAATTTAGAATATGCTCTGCTCCCCCTCAATAGAAGCCCGGGGCTTCTAAACTATCCACCGTTCAAAAGTTTCAGTGGGAGCTTCTATTAGGTCCTATTTTGTTTTCAAAGATTTCAGGTACAAAAGTTTTGCAAAAACATTTTAGGGATTTGCAGAGTTTTTAAATAGTTTTTGAAGGGTTATCAAGGGAATTTCGAGATTTTCATGCTGGTAAGTAAGGTGCAAATAATGCAAAATTCAAGTGAGGTTTTGTTTTAGTTAGTTCGTAGATGATTTAACAGCACTTTAAAAGCTGATCATGAATATGTAGTTTTTATTTTAAATTGATTACATTTTGGCTGAAAACAAAACCTGAAATATTTTGAGTGGCTAAAAAAGTAGTATTTTAACGATGAGCTCATTTTTTCTATAATATTTGCCAAATATCTATTTCAATTGTTTGGTTAGCTTTTTGAAAATATTATATTCAGAATCAGCATTAAAAGTTGCATCGAGTCATTCATGTTTTATTGAAAACTGTTTCGAATGAAAAATTCACCCGTGGGGAGTAGGGGCAACATTTCGAAAAAATACCCTGATGGGGACCTCCGACTTTGTTTTTCTTTAGAAACAGTGTTCAACAAAACACGCATGAATCGATGCAACTTTTAATGCTGATTCTGAATATAATATTTTCAAAAAGCAGACAAAACAACTGAAATAGATATTTGGCAAATATTATAGAAAAAATGAGCTCATCGTTAAAATACTACTTTTTTAGCCACTCAAAATATTTCAGGTTTTGTTTTCAGCCAAAATGTAATCAATTTAAAATAAAAACTACATATTCATGATCAGCTTTTAAAGTGCTGTTAAACCATGTACATATTAACTAAAGCAAAACTTCACTTGAATTTTGCATTTCCTGCACCGTAACATTTAAATGAGTTTTTACCTTAAAATCCTGAAAATTTAACAGTTTTTACTGTGGAATTACTAATAAAAGTTCCCAAAAATTTCAAATTTAAAAAAACTCAGTAGGCTTCTAATACATTTTTCACAGCGACTCCTCCAAGGAGGCTTCTAATAAGGGGAGGGTTACGAGATGATGACTTTGAACTTCCGGTTCGCTAGGTTACACGCGTTACGATTCTTTAACGATATAGAAAGTACGGGCACTGTTAAAACGCGATTTTTGGTACACTTTTAGCTTTAGAAAATTCGTTAAATAGTAGAAAAATACGATTTATTTTAATGCGTTAATTTCATATTTCTGATTGCATGGATAGTCAAAGCGTTCTTCTTGAAACTCTCTCACGAAATCCACATGAATCTCTATTGAGGTTTTGAAATTCATTGATCGAAGTCCTCTAGCACATGGCCAACAGATAATTTTAGAAGATTCTTTCTCTCATTAACTCTTAGCGTTCTAGACACTCTAACATGAATGCAAAGGAAATCTTCTACGCTCAAGATAGCCTATGAAAGGTCAAGTTTAGCGATGTAGCGAAGCATCGACATTCAGGAATATTATGAAAATCTTTCGTTCTTTAAAGACTCCCTGAATCCATGCAGTTTCCTGTATGAATTGTTTTAGATCTCTTCTCAACGAAAATATCTTTGCAAAAAATATTAACAAATTCTAGTCGGACGGCTCTCATCAGATTCTGAAGAGATTTCTCATATTTATATCCACGTGAAGAGAAACCCTTTCGCGCACCTTATCGAAAGATCTTATTTTCAGGATATCGCTCTCTCTCTCTCTCTCTCTCTCATGTAGGAGAGAGATGGCGTGGAGCTCTTTTCATTGTTCGTTTCTTTTAGTCATACCCAATATTCCTGCCAATGCCAAATGGGCACAGAATGGCGTAACTGTCGCTGGAAGTTACGGGAAAGGCAATGACACAAATCAACTGTACGGATTTTACTGTCTCTTCGTTGACGATGATCAAACGGTGGGCATCGCTGACTACGTGAATAATCGTATCATCCAATGGAAAAAAGATGACACGAATGGACAAGTCGTTGCCGGTGGGAATGGCAAAGGAAGTGGATTGAATCAATTGAATGGTCCAATGCATGTGTTGATCGACAAAGAGACGGATAGTCTCATTATTTGTGATAGCTGGAATCGACGAGTCGTACGATGGTCCCGTCGTAGCGGCACAACTCAAGGAGAAATCCTTGTTGGCAACATCAGGTGTTATGGATTGGCTATGGACGATCAGAGATATCTCTACTTCTCTGGCAAGCACAAAGATGAAGTAAGACGATATCAACTAGGAGACAATACTGGAACTCTCGTTGCTGGTGACAATGGCGAAGGCACTGGTCTTAACCAGCTCAACACTTCAACCTATCTCTTTGTTGATCAACAACAGACTGTATACGTGTCAGATTGGGACAATCATCGTGTGATTAAATGGAGTAAAGGTGCAACAGAAGGCATAGTCGTCGCTGGAGGTCAAGGCACAGGGAATGCTCTGACACAATTGTCGTATCCTCAAGGACTGTTCGTCGATACGTTGGGTACTGTCTATGTGGCAGAGCAGGGAAACAATCGAGTGACGCGTTGGCCTCAAGGAGCGACACAAGGCACCGTGATTGTAGGTGGAAATGGCGCGGGAGCAGGAGCAAATCAGTTCTGGGCACCCATGTGTTTGTCCTTCGATCGATATGGCAATCTCTATGTCGTCGATTATTACAATAAACGTGTTCAACGATTTTCTCTCGAAGGTGAGTTCCGCTGTGCTGTGTGACTATGTATGATTTTGGGCCGATGTGATGGCAACTGATAATTGGCGTGCAAGTGTCGTATTCACCACTCTCTCCAACACCCAAATCCATATTAACGCGTAACACGTGAGCCATCTACGGTTACGACAGGTTCTTAACCTTATTCACATGCCCTTCTGCAAAACGAAGCCAGTGGTGCTAATATATTGGTCATCACCATAGGTTCGGGTGTTCTACTGGCCTCACTTCCAGTCTCATCATTGCATGCCGGCTTCGTTAGCGATTGACTTCGACGGGTCTACCATATTGAGGGTGTGGGTGGATGTCGAATTCATTGTGAATGTGATCGTTGCTGATTTTGGGACTATGGTTTTTGGTTTCCTTTTCGCAAACACCTACACAGATATGCGAAAATTGTTGGAAACTTTTACATTCCACGAGTAGTTCTGTGAAATACCCTCTCAGTGTCCTCGAATGGTGACAGTAACATTCTACAAACCGATTACCTGCTCAGATTCTTTGATCCCAGACAACTTTAGCAAAACTTACAGAAAACACTCGATTCTGTATAAAAAGCCTTATCTATGTCCACAGTCGTCGTCATAACTTTTTATGAACTATCTCATGATTCGTATCTACACTGAAAAAAATTGCACCACACGGAACCAAGAAAGTGTCGAATTTTCTCACTGAACTTTAGAATGGTTTCGCAGGCACTACGAAACTTGAAAAGGGTTTCGAGATTTGAAACGAATTCTGAACCTTTTTTTAGGTTTCGTAGGTTTTCCACAAAACCTTCGAAAAAGTTTCCTGGACTCTTGATAATAATTTTGAGACTATCTTGGGCTTTTACGAAACCTTTTTGAGGGTTTAGAATTCGTTTCAAAAATGTTTCCGTATGGTGCTATTTTTTTTCCCAGTGTATGATGTTCAAAAAATTTAAATGAAAGTTTCGTCAAATTGATCTGTTCAGTGAATAACTCTTCGAAAAGTCGCACTCACGACTTAATGGATTCCCAGAAACAAAATCTAAATTCAGAGCTCTTGTTGCTGAAAGTCTCTCCTTCAGCGTGCAGTTTTTATCTGAATCTTCGAAACTCCTTGTCACGTTCGTAATACAGCGTAATCATTATGACAAGTCCATTCGAGACATTTGTATATCTGCTCCGCCAAAAACTCAGATGAAACCGCCGAAAAATAAATTGGTTTTCCAAAAACCTTTGTGATAATCTCTTATCAAATGCCATGATGTTTGCCCGAAAATATTTAAGGACTGATATCCCCCGATCTCCCTGCTATTTCCTAATTATTTAAAAAAACTATTTGCTTTTCCGAAGAAACTCTCCTTATGTGTAGTTTCATCGACAAGGAACATTCAGAGTCTCATTATAGAATCGCATACCTCTTACGCAAAAATACGAATGCCATATTCGCATTTTTACCACCAGAATTAATGCGCGCGGAGGTGCTAGTATTTGGTTAGCATTAATTTTAACACTAATACATGCACTCAATGTGAACTGCTATTTGGATCTATCATGTATAGCTTTTCGTCTCCGACACAGACATACTCTCAGTTGAATTTCGAATGTCATCTTCGCATTCTATGCATAGCATTTCCCTTGTTGTCCGAAGCATCTAAGATAATTTCTAAGGAATTACAGATGGTGCGTATTATGGAAAAGAAAGCCACAGCTAGTTTAGATCTTTTTCAAGGATCCCATCAGAGTAAGTGGATGGATGTGGTAGTGGATGAAGGGAAGACTAACAGCCACACCCACAAGAATCTGGTACCTATCCATCACTTTGTTTTAAACGAAAGCTTATAAAAAATAGTGTTGAAAATTGATTTAATCTAAAAATTCTTTTTTTATCCATATCTCTTTATCTTTGCAATCAATAGTCATGCAGGAGTATGTTAAAAAATAAAAGCTAGTCTGAAAAAAGATTTAAACGTTTTTCATAAATAATAGTAGAAAAAAACCAACAACGAACCTATTGGTTCTGAAGGGATAAGACCAACAATGAGGGTACCGTAAATTCTATTATTCAGTGCTTCAATAAAGTACCTGCTAAAACCATATGTCATGATATGTAAATAAATAAATCCCACGCGACAAGAAAATCGCCCACCCCATCCAGAGCTCTGAGTAGAACACTTTTGATATAAACACATTACATACAGTCAAAAATGTCCGAAATGATCAGTTATTAACGTTTTTATATGAAAAAAGTGTTAAAATGTTTTTCTAAAAACTGTCATAACCAGGTTGAAGTATGTAGAAAATATGGATACTGTTAAAACTCAATTTTTAGACATTTTTAAGTGTACACAATGAGTTAAATAGAAGAAAAATACGACCGTTAATTTTATATTTTTGACAGCATAGTTACTCAACGAGATCTTCTTTCAAATATCTCTCACAATCCACATGAATCTCTATTGGGGTTTTAAAAACCATTCATCAAAGTCCTCTAACGCATAGCCAACGGATTTTTTTACTAGATTCTTTTTCTCATAAACTGCTAGTGTTGTCTCAAAAAGTTCCAGAATTCTCTACCCTCAATACAGTCTCTGAAACATCAAATTTAGCGAAACGATCTTTGCAAAAAACATCAACAAATCGTAACCGGAAGGCTCTACAAGCAAGGACTGCACAGAATGAAACTTTGAAGTTAATAAAGATCGATGACATGATGGATCCTACAGAGCTTTCTCATATTTATCTCCACACGAGAAGAAATATTTTGAAATACCTTATTGGAAGATCTTATTTTCAGGATATCGCTCTCTCACGTAGAAGAGAGAGATGACGAGGATCTCTTTTCATTGCTCGTTTCTTGATATACACCCACACTAATACCCCTGAGCGATATAAAAGATGCATACTTACGCTACACTGACGCCCACGAACTTTTGCTTTGTTACATCTGTAATAAACTCTTCTCCCGTCTTGTGTATAATTTGTATAGTGTGCTTTGATCAGATATTTTCAATGCATTCTTCAGCTTCATCAGCATTATCAAATGTGACTCCTGTAACACAACAGTTAGATCTCTGGTTCTTTTTATTCTTTGATTTCGATTTAAGACACTATTATCTTCTAACCCATCATCTGAAAAATCACTTTCACATGGTGATACTTGTACTGCTTCCATTGGTTTTCTTTTATTTACATTTCATTGAGAATAAGGGAGTGGGTAGGAACGAAGATAATATATACCCGAGGAAAGCAAAAGCTTGACTTGGTATTTGACCTCCTTTTACACATGAAAATGACTTACTGGGGGAAAGTAATTATGCCACTCGATAGCGCTTGGAATTTTCTATCAAACTATGTATTTTGATTGTACCTTGCTTTTATCTTCTGAAAAATTATTCCAGTGGAATGAAGGCGCCCTCATAGTCAGATTCTCAAACAGTCGATTGTCTTATTGCCTTCGCATTTAGTATTTTGGATGGATAGTCGGTTAGATAATGAGTTTCTGAAAAAGTAAGTATATATTCTGATAGCACTGAAAATTCTCTATCACCCTATATATTTGCCTATTCTCTTGCGTGTATGACTTGGAAAAGAATTGATTATAATAAAGAAATTCCCGATTGACAAGAACTAAAAGTCGACAAATTTGTACTATTCTCGAATTATTATTACTATATGAATAAGCGCTTATATCAGTAATTATACAATCCGATAGAGCTTGAAATTCTCTATCATCCTGAATAATTTGTTCTTTTCTTCCGTTAATTTACAAAAGAATAATTGGAGTATTACATCGACATCCTCGGCGGCATCCTAAACAACCAGGATTACTTTAACTATCTCTTTTGTTTTTACTTCAAGAGTTCAAGATGGTACAGAATTTCAAAATGTATCGGATTGTATAATTACTGATATAAGCGCCTATGCATACAGTAATAATAATTGGAGAATGTTAAAAAGTTGTCGAATTTTAGTTCTTGTCAATCGGGAATTTCTTTATTACAATCAATTTGTTTTTAGGTCCTAGATGCAAATGAATAGACAAATACGAGGGCTGGCAAGGATCCCGAAAATGTCCACTTTAGTAAAAGTCAGCTGGAAAATAGAGGGACTTTAGTACTCGGATAAAATATCTATATTTAGAAGGACCTTTCTCTATTCGTGTTGACTTATTCCTAGTACTTGTAGCGGACTTTTCTTAGTTTCAGCGGATCTTCCTTTTCAATCTAGTGGACCTTTCCTGAACCTTTCTTTTTTTGATGCGCCACCTAGTCTAGAAGTTGTTTTTTATAATCCAGAAAAATTAGTTTTAGCTGTCTTGTTTGGGAAAACTAAATAACTGATTCTGCGTGTATGTGGATATTGTAACGTTTATATTAGAAGAAAGAAAACTAAAACTAAAGATTTCTGTTTATCAGATTACTTTATTCATATGTATAAATTTTGAGTTTCAAAATAAAAGAAAACTAAACTATACATATCAATAAATCTATAGAACTGTATCTACATAGATACATAAATTAAAAATAAAACATTATAAAAGTGAAAACTAAAGCGAAATCTAATTTATTTAGCCGCAGAACTCTTTAATATAATAATTTATAAATTATAGGTTTTATATTAAAAAGAAGAAGAAAACTAAAACAAAATCTATTCCTATTCTATAGAATAAGAATAAGGTATGGTAATATAAAGTATACGTCTTATATTATCAAAAATGAGATTAAAACTAAATTTGTCACTAAACCTATCGAAAAATATCGATATAGATATATAAATCATAATTTATAAAAATGAAAACAAAAATATAATGTTTTCCTCAATCTAATGAACAGTATCTATGCACATATATAAATTACGAATTATAAATATCAAAGCTGAACCTAAATTTATTCGTTAAGCTGCAGGCCTGGATCTATCAACATGTAAAGATTCTAAGCTATTAAATTAAAAGCAAAGAAAATTACAACTAAATCTATCTTCAAATCTAGAGAATAGTGTATGAATACATGTAAATTAGAAGCTATTGTACAAAAATTTTATTTTCGAGATATTCGTTTATATTCGAAATCAATTTAGGTAGCCACTCAAGATACAATATCAGTAAAATCGTGTAGGAGATCGCATTGCTTGCGAAAAGACAATATCGTGCTGTATCACTAATATATGCGTACATGTTTTATCATATTTGATAACTGTAGTCGCCGCATTCAAATATATAGAAACATTATTCTTACATTTATCTCAGTAAAATTAAGTCACATGGAAAGAAACTTGTTTCCAATAAGAGAGCCAAATAAGCAAAATAAATATTCTTGTGCCATGATGAATGTATTTCATAGATTTTTTTCATTTGATACAAATCTACGTGAATCGCTATTATATCGATGTTAATAAAAGTAAGAAAGAGAAAAAGAAAAAGAAAAATTATATTACGAATACAAAGGTCCGCAGAAAGAGACAAAGATCCTCATGTAATCAGAATATATGATATTTAATCTTTGTGATACAAATCTATCGTGATCTCTCTTTTATGTATATCAAAAAAAATGATATGAAAAGAAAAGTCCTTCATAATATAGAAAAATCTGCTACTGACGTGAGCTTTTTTTTCCTTTAACTACTAGTATAATACAAATTTTGTCCGATATGAAAAGCCTCACATACTGTCAGAGGACTTTAGGTAAAGTGGACATTTTTTGTATCTTTGACATTGCTGGTCAAAAGAGGTCAACTACCAAGTTAAGCTTTTGCTTGCCAGGGTATATGTAGGTACTTGTTACATGTAAGACGCAGTACAAGACGAGCGAAAAACAAAATAAACAGAGTGACACTACAAGACAGTTCTTTAATCTAATCTACTGATCACTTAAGTCGTAGCCGTTTTTCTCTTCTTGATACACGTCATACCAATACTTGTAATATCGTACATACTTTGCTAATAAAACAAGATCTTATGGCCACGGGAGCCCGATAAGATATTTGAAAATAACTCCAAAAAACGCAATTCATTGTAACATGAATGGTCTTCTACTCTCAAAATAATCTCTAAAACATCAAGTTTAGTCATTCAATGTAAGAATACCACGAAAATCCTTCGTTCTTTCAAAACACCTTGAATTCATGTGGTTTTCTAAATGAATTTTTCTTCTTAACGAAAAGATCTTTGCAGAAAATATCAACAAATCTCCTTACCGGACGACTATCTCATCAGATTCTGAAGAGCTTTCTCATATTTATATCCACGCGCAGGGAGAAACCCTTTCGAGCACCTTATCAAAAAATCTTTTTTTCAGGATATCGCTCTCTCTCTCATGTAGGAGAGAGATGGCGTGGAGCTCTTTTCATTGTTCGTTTCTTTTAGTCACCCAAGTGAGCAAAAGACTGGTTAAATGACTAGTCTTTTTTCTAGTCAAGTCGACCCGTCCCGTCTAGTCTTTGTCTCAAAAACTACTCGCCCACGACTAGTCTGAGTTTTTATCCGTCATNCTCCTCATTAAGCTGACTAGACAAGACGGGTATGCAAGACATTTCAGACTAGACTAGACGGATCCTGCGGACATTTCTGACTAGTCATGTCGGCAGTCTTCCTTCATTTTTTGCTTACTTGGGCATACCCAATATTCCTGCCAATGCCGAATGGGCACAGAAGGGTGTGACTGTTGCTGGAGGTCACAGACGAGGCAATAACACCAATCAACTCTACTACCCTCAGGGTGTCGCCATTGACGATGATCAGACAGTGGTCATTGCTGACCGCGACAATGATCGTATTGTCCAATGGAAGAAAAGTGCTACGAATGGAAAAGTCGTCGCTGGCGGCAATAGCACCGGAAGTCGATTGGATCAATTGAAATATCCAACTGATGTATTTATCGACAAAGAGACGGATAGTCTCATTATTTGTGATTATCAGAATCGACGAGTCGTACGATGGGCTCGTCGTAGTGGCACAACTCAAGGAGAAATCCTTGTTGATAACATCCATTGTGAAAGATTGATGATGGACGATCAGAGATATCTCTGCGTCTCTGACTGCAGAAAACATGAAGTCCGACGATATCGAATGGGAGACAAGGAAGGAACTCTCGTGGCTGGAGGAAATGGGCAAGGTGATGGTCTCAATCAACTCAACTATCCGACGTATCTCGTTGTCGATCGACAACAGACTGTCTACGTGTCAGACTACATCAATGCTCGTGTAATGAAATGGACTAAAGGTGCAACAGAAGGCATAGTCGTCGCTGGAGGTCAAGGCACAGGGAATGCTCTGACACAATTGTCGTATCCTCAAGGACTGTTAGTCGATACGTTTGGTACTCTCTATGTAGCAGAGCACGGGAATGATCGAGTAACGCGTTGGACTCAAGGAGCGAAACAAGGCATTGTGATTGTGGGTGGAAATGGTCAAGGAGCAGGAGTAAATCAGTTCAAGGGTCCCACTGGTTTGTCCTTCGATCGGCATGGCAATCTCTATGTTGTCGATTTTTTCAATAATCGTGTTCAACGATTTTCTCTCGAATAGATTTGTGAAAATGTTTGAATTTTATCTTTCTTTCAAATAAATGAAAAAGAAATTTTATTCACTTTTACTATTCGTGAACGTGAAGCTCATGCACGGATGGGACACGATTCAAATCATTCTCTCTCTCTTAACAAAAACGATAAGAACTTCGATGCTGAATTGTTGTTATTTTTTGATAGGAACAGGAAAATTGAAACGAAGAAAATAATAAAATTGATTCTTTTTCAAAATATTTACTTAGAAGAAATTACAATAAAAGAGGTTACAACATAAAAAATAAAAGACAGGAAACAAAATTACATTTGAAAAGACTAATAGAAAAGGAAAGAAATTACTTTAGTATTTTAAAATAAATGAAGAAAATATTTACCTGATTAATAAATGTTTGCTTTTGAAATTGAACAAAAAGAAGAAAAAAAACAGAAGAATAAAATGAATAATAAAAAAAAATAATGCAAAGAAGTGAATGAGAAAAATTTGTTTGTTTTCAAAATATTCATTTGAAAAAAATAAAAAACAATAATTACAAAAATCACAATAAAAAAGTAATTACAATAAAAAAGAAGGTTTCACTAAAATTTATAAAAGGAAAGGAAAGAAATGAACTAAATATACTTACCTAATTCTGATGTTGCTTGAATTGTTTTTGGATGGATTTAATTTTGTTGAACTAAAAAGAAATATAGAAAAAAGCAATTATTTTTATTTATGTTACAGTGAAACAAATTCATAAAATGCTTATCTTATTTGTAGTTGGTACTATTGAAATTGACCTAAGAGAAGAAACATAATGATTACAAAATTAATTTGTAAAAATAAAGAAAAAACAAAAGTTACCACGATTTTGTGGGGTGTGGGTGTGGGTGTGAGATACAACAGACGACATACACCCACACCCTAAAGTTTTAATGCTAATTCGGCAAAAAACTTGTTTATCGAACCCAGTAGAGTGTGGATGTAGGTGTCAGTGAAGAGATGACTGAAGCCCACACCCATACCTACACCCATACCGACACCCTCTGCATATTTCAGCCGCGAAATGTCACAAAAAACATAAAATTTATTTTATGATGATAGAATAATAAAGCATAGATACAATAAAATTACTCTCCAATAGTTTTCACATTACATTATCAACTGTGGCTGATCCTTGGATTACAAAATTTCGTACACCCATATCGTTAAGCATTGCACCTTTGTCGTGATAACCAATTTTCCCTCCTCTCAAAGCTGCAATCACTTTAGGATACTTATCCAAATTCTCGATGATATGTGTGAGAGCCGCCTCGATAATGGACGGACTGAGCTCGCTCTTTTTCATACTGGAGTTTTTGAACTGAGCTGCATTGAACGATGACGTCGCACCACTATTTATCACAATAAAAAATAGCCCATTGCTTAAATTGTTCACTAATTCGTTTTCCACCTCACTGAGAATCTGCGGAGTGAGAAGTGCCACTGTACGCCCATTGGGTCGACGATATAATTCACGATGATCAAACTGTAATGAATTCATGCGGATGTTTGTCTCCATTGTATGTTGCGTTACTAAACGCATCATAATGTCTTAGTCTTTGAGCTCGATGAGACGATTGGGATGTGATGATGGAGAACACGAAGTTGCAGGGATGGATGGTTCTTTATTGTTTAACGGGTTATTGACAACACTTGGCGTCATAACAGTAGAAGATTTATTAGGGCAACAACCCATGGTGCAGTACTGAGATCGTTTGGTTTTATTCTAAGCTAAAATATTTGTCTCCATGTCGATTTGCTGACGAAACAGGAATGAAATGGCAAGTTGTTTTTCTCTTCAATGGAGACATTAATCTTGAGTCAACTTCGTATAGGTGTATCTCGCCGATAAAATCATAAGCAAACATTTGATGATAATATTACTAATTATGTCACGCGTTGCGCAGGCGCATACAAGAACTGTTTTCAAATACTGAGTGTGAGTGCTACAATGGCTGCGAGGGCGACGAGGAAGAGAAGATTCACACGCTCAAATATTACTTTTCAGTTAACTAAAATAAGTGTCACATACGACGGGATCTTTTTCGAAAACAAACTATACGCGCACGACTACTAAATATTGTGGAGGAGACAAGAAAACAAGATTTTGGTTATTTGCTTGGGTATACTGACTTCTTGAGATAACACTGTAACGTGCTCTCTATTTTACGATACAATAACGTATCTTCTTGTTTTACTGTACTTATATTAGCCATTTCGACACGATTAAACATTTTATGAGCTTCAATTAGAAAACAGATTAACCTATCTCTTAACGAAGAAGACAAATCAATCTGCTATTCTGAATTCTTGCTTTTCAGCAATCGATCAAAGTCAAATAATTAATATATTTGTGCTTGAATTTAAAAAAACATGTAGAATTTTATATTGCCGACGCATTTCATGTTTATTTATTATTAAAATATTGAAACACTCTTCAGGGCTCTACATTCGATTTAGCACAATAAAAATAGGAAAACAAAATAGGATAAATATAATTAAGATTGGATATAATGAAAAACGAGAAATTAAAATGGAAATTAAGAAACAATTACAGAATTAAAAAAGGCAAGAAAGACTAAAAATTGAGGGTGATATTCCATTGTTCGAGCTCTCTTTCTGAGCCGATCTTGATATTCCATGGTTCGTGTCTATTTTTTGGGTCGATCGTAATACTCCATGGTTCGTGCCCGTTTTCTAAGCCGATACGATCACGAATTTATTGTCAATGATGGATCCAATTTCACGACATAATCGAGGGGCTTGTTTCTGTTTCAGGAGCGACATTGATTAATCTGAGCATGGATGTGTCATCTCGTTTTGGAGCCACGAAGATAATTTTGATAATATCGATCTGAGCGTAGATACGTTGACCACTATTGAAACACTCAATAATCTGTTTGGGTGTAAATTTGTACTGTTTGTCGTATGTATGCGTTCATTACTTTTCGATATATTTTCCACTTTCTGTCTTTACTTATATCGTATGCATGTTTAGTATGCTTTCGCTCTATTGTCTTTACTGATATCGTATCCGATAATTTTATACAAATTTCATACTAATTCCATCCAAATTCAATACTAATGTTTTTACTTAAATAGTAAAATTCAATTCCGTTTGGATGGCGATATGAGTTCATTACTAATACCAACGTCTTATTCAAATAGATTTAATATCAATTTATATAACAAGTAACGCTCGTCACTGTGCGATTCGCTTAACCCTCGACTGAAATGTCTAGAGGAACGATATACTATTTTACCTTACCCGAGACAACTTTGAGGATGTCAAAGTGCCGAATCTCCTCTACCACAGTAATGTTATCATTGACTTTCAAAATATGCTAAGCTTCAAATGATAGTAATATCTACATATAAAATTGCTACTTCGCGCTAACATTTTGATTTAATGAAATCTTACAAAGATATGTATCGTAAAATTCTGATTTACATATCAGGATAGTCACGACGACATCTTGAAATTCTCTGAGATTTGTAATATGAAAACAATGTCTTTCGACAAAACTTATTGAGAATATGAAACAGCGACCGCTCATACTAGTGTTAGCTGATAAAACCATTTGCTGGCATAAGTATTATTCTAAGCGGCAATAGTAATTAACTGAAAGAAGTCGATTTTAATTGTCAGAACTGGATATGGTTCTCCTAGACTTTATCGGACGTGTCTCAGTCAAAATACATTTATACCAAAATATTAGCAGATAAAGTGCTTAAAATGAAACATGATTTCATGATCGAATCTATCGGTCATCCTAATTGAATAGTATCATAAAATTATTTAATTACGAGTATGAGATAGTATTGTATCGGAGTGTGTTTATTCGTGAAATTCGATAACTAATCGCGAGTTATAAAGATATTAAATTTATAATGAAAAAGAGGAATATGTGATGAATATATAGCACAAAAGTTTTACAACCATTCTGGAAAACGTGTTTGAGTCTCTAAATATAGTTTATCGAGTCGTCCAATTTCTGTCAGTTGTGACTTGCTGGGTTTAATCAACAACACCTTGTAATCAAAATATCGCAAAATAACCACATCAGTTAAGAGCTTTACCCGCGACAAGGGTACATAGGCTGCAGCAATATCATCGGTTTCATTTGGCAGTTTTAAATCAACCACAACTTTATTTAATGTTTGACCTTGACTCTTGTGTGTTGTAATGCAATAAGCTGGTACAAGTGGTAATGCGCGCCGTTTAATAGATAACAATGTTTTTCTATTTGATTTTGGCTTCGTATCTTTTGGAAGCGTATCGCCTATATCGACTCGAAATGTTTGTTCCATTACCGGTATTGGAATCAGCTTTGACTGAAGTTGTTCTAAATTACATTCAATCTTTGATTTGCTAATTTCCACCAAGGCGTATAAAGGTCGATAAACATATCGCGCATTCTTGGAAAATTCTTCCGAAATAATATCAGTTGACACCGAATCTTCCTGGTAGACAAGCTACCGAAAGATTCCGCTCACGCCGTTGATAAGACCCAATTCAATTGCAATATTTTGCGTTAAAATGACAGGCATTCCAGGAACAAGAGGTAATAGACCTGGTAGATGCTCCGTTTTGCTATCAGATAATTCTAATCATTTTTTAATAAGTGCTTGATCTTCAATTGGTTTACCTTTTCAGGTATCTTGGACAACGCATACTATTGGTGTTTGTCCCATTTGTTGTGCTTTGTGACTAACTGCCTTGTGGTTTAATTGTGTTCGTATTTCGTTACGAAATACGAGAATCGGAGCCTAAAAAGATGAAGATGGTGAATTGTCTAAATCTAGAAAAACAAATTTACTTTATTCCATGGTGAATCACTTAACAAGGGTACGGAAGATTGCCCCACTATTCGTGTTAACAATAATTCGTAGTCATCGTAGTTACATTCTCCATGACGAAGTCGTTCGAGTAGCTGAAGATAACGTAGATCTTCTGTTCTCATCTGTTGAGTAAGTTTGACCACACAATTGATTTGAAGAATTAAAGAACGTGCAACACGTTGTTGAATTTGTTTTTCAGTTGCTATCTTGTTTGATTTACTTTTAACCGGTAAAGTGAAATCTGTATGTAGAGGTACATCATATACAGGTCGATATTGTAAATAATCGCCGAAGAAGATGACATTTACACCACCAAATGGAACTTGAGGATCGGTATGTTTTGCAGCACATATAATTCGGTTGAGTTTCGCAAGTAGAGTTAAACCAACCATACTTATTTCATCAATTAAGAGGTATTCAACGAGGGCCCATTCCTTCTCGAGTTTTAAATCTCCTGGTTTAATTGTACGTGCCTTTCCTGAGTTACGC